AAGTATATGATTGAAGTAGTGGTAGTAGTACTTTTGTGTAGTACCATCCCTATGATGATAAACTTTATACTTCTACTTTAATATTATTTCAAAGTAATGTTAGTCTTTCTTGAGTACAGTATTTATCTACTCCACCACCTGGGACTGCAAGAATGTGATTGAAGTAGTATTAGTAGTACTTTGGTGCAGTAGTGTCCCTGTGATTCGAGGCCGTGGGGGTGAGCTGAGGTCACGGTGCAGTACCAGCTGTGCTCTGCCTGATCAGGTACTCTCTAATGAATAGTACTTTGTTTAGAGCAGACACACTGTGAGTGACTCCACCAGCTGTGGTCCTGTCTCCTCAGACCGTCTCAGACTGAGTACTAGGATTTCCACAGTGTTACTTCATGTACTTGATGTACTCATGTTGTACTAGTCGCTGTACTGTAGTTTGAAAAAGCAGTAGTGGAAGGTAATGAAGTAGATGGTGGAAAAGTATTCTGTTTAAGTATGTATTTTAGGTATTTGTGGATATATTTTATGCTTGCTTCACTACATTTGACAGCAGGTATTTGTACTTTCTACTCCACTACATTTTTGAACAAGTACAAAGTAAAAGTATTTTAATTATTGTGTGAGACTTGCTGAAAATACTGTTTGTTTACTTTGAAGACATCAGCAATTTGAGCAAACAAAAATATATAAATAAAAAATGACCTTTTACTTTACATTTGAAGCCTTATAAAATCTCAAAATATGTGCAAAATACTTTTACTTTTACTCTTTAAGTACATTTTTAACCAGGTACTTTAATACTTAGAGTGGGAGGAGGTACCACAACTCAAGTATGAGCACTGTTAGTTCAATAAAAATATTACTGATGTAGGTGTAAAAGTATACTGCTAAAAAAAATACTCTGAGAAGTAATAGTAATGTGCAGTATTCATGTTTTGTCCTTCAAAGTACATTAACTTCAAATTTTAAATCAGATGTCAGGTACACATAAGTGAGTAATGATATGAGTACTTTTTCATTTTTACTTTTTTTGGATCTCTACTTTATACTTCTACTTGAATACTATTATTTTGAAGTAACATTAGTCTTTCTTGAGTAAAGTATTTGGATACTCTCCCATATCTGATTGTAATAAAGTATATGCTTGAAGTAGTGGAAGCATTACTTGTGTATAATACTACACCTGTGATTCTAACTTTACACTTCTACTTGACTAATATTATTTTGAAGTAACATTAGTCTTTCTTGAGTATATGGATACTCTACCATGTCTGATAGTAAGTATATGGTTGAAGTAGTGGTAGCATTACCTTTGTACATTTTTAAACAGGTGCTGTAGTACTTTTACTTAACTAAATCTTTTCATGTGATACTTTTACTTTAGTATTTTTTTTTACTACTCTACCACCTCTGATTGCAAGAATGTGACTGAAGTAATGGTAGTAGTACTTTTGTGTAGTACCATCCCTATGATTCCAATTTAATCAGTAATTCTTCTACTTGAGTAATATTATTTTGAAGTAATGTTAGTCTTAACTACTCTAACACCTCTGATTGTAAGTATGTGACTGAAGTAGTAGTAGTACTTTTGTGTAGTACCATACCCATGATTCCAACTTTATGCTTGTACTTTAATATTATTTTGAAGTAACTTTAGTCTTTCTTTAGTACATTTTTTAGCTACTCCACCACCTCAGATTGTACGTATATAATTGAAGTAGTGATAGTACTTTTGTGTAGTACCATCCCTATGATTCCACCTTTATACTTCTATTTAAGTAATATTATTTTGAAGTAATGTGAGTCATACTTGAGTACAATTTTTAGCTACTCTACCACCTCTGACTGTAAGTATATGATTGAAGTAGTGGTAGCAGTACTTTTGTGTAGTACTATCTCTATGATTCCAACTTCATATTTCTATTTGAGTAATATTATTTTGAAGTAATGTTAGTGTTTCTTGAGTACAGTATTTGGCTACTCTACCACCTCTGATTGTAAGTATATGATTGAAGTAGTGGTGGCAGTACTGTTGTATAGTACTACACCTATGATTCCAACTTCATACTTCTGTTTGAGTAATATTATTTCGAAGTAATAGATTGTAAAAATTTAATGGGATTGTAAGAATGTAATTGAAATAGTAGTACTTTTACTTTAGTATTTTTTGCTCTGGTATCTCTACTTCTACTTAAGTAACACAATTGAGTACTTCTTCCAGCACTGGTAGAATGCAATTACTACTTAAAACTACTTAAAGTGCATTTCCAGCTCAGACTACTTCACAAAAACAGTTAAAATCACTCAAAATGTTTCAGTTTTGTGTTGATGTTTTTATAATTAGACTTTTATAATTGTCGGCTGACAGCAGACGTGACACACATCGAGGTGATTCCAGAACCGTTCCCTAACAACCAGAATGTCAACAAGGGCCTCGACTCGTCTAAATGACACAATAGTGAGGATTAGACTAATAAAAATAGATGACAGCCTTTATTTTGATTACTGTTAACCGCCAGAAAACGCCTTCTTTGTGTGGAATAGTCTGTGCGTTTAGGATGTTTGGACTTTTCCCTGTTGACATAAGAAGAGGGAATTCTGTTTTTCGACTCGGCGCTTCTTCCTGTATTTTTTGTACTTTTCTTTGCGAATTTTTCCCCACCAGCTGCCACTTAACTCGTGTAAAACTATATAAATATTGACCACAGCTACTAACCCACCAAACCAAGTCAGAATTAGAAAAAAAAACATGAATCATATGCACTTTAAACTGCTGAATAAGCGCTTTGTAATGTTTCAACAGTGACCTGGTTTCTAAAGTACCAAGTTGCACATTCACTTTTCCCGTAGACTTTTCTCTGAAACTTTATAAACTGTTTATTAAAGCATTTCACTAAATTTAAGTGTTTTAAATCTACTTTTTGAACTTTAAACAGCAGAATAATTGTGTTGTGGATCTTAGTTTAGCCTCTTTCTTTGAGTCTTTGAACTTTTCGTATTTGATTTCTTAGGAAAGTCTATGGGAAAAATGAATGGGATATTTATTTTCTGGAACTGGACTTCAAAGTGCGCGGGACTGTTGACCTCCAGTAGGCGATAAGTCAAATTTTACCTGTGAATTGTCAACAAAAATGTAATGCTTCAACAGTGACCTGGTTTCTAAAGTTCATTTCTCATTCATTTTTCCCGTAGACTTTCTGAAAAAAAAAAAAAAAAGTACATTGAAAATTTGAAAGCTCAACAGCTTTGTGGTAACTAGCACCTACAATAATTCCTATAATTTTATTCCAAATCTGTCACTGAAACTTTTTAAATAGTTTATTAAAGCTTTTCACTGAATTTAGCATTTTAATTGTACTTTTTGAACGTTAAACAGCAAAATAATTGTGTTGTGGATCTTAGTTTAGCCTCTTTCTTTGAGTCTTTGAACTTTTCACATTTGATTTTTTAGAAAAGTTTACGGGAAACATTAATGGAATATTTATTTCTGGAACCAGAGCGGACTTCAAAGTTCACGGAACTGTTGACCTCCAAATTTTACTTGTGAATTGTCAACAAAAATGTAATGTTTCAACAGTGACCTGGTTTCTAAAGTACATTGCACTCTCATTTTTCCCGTAGACTTTCTAAAAAAAATAAAAAAGTTCATTAAAAATTTGAAAGCTCAACTGCTCTGTGGTAACTAACACCTACAATAATACTGATCATTTTATTTCACATCTTTCTCTGAAACCGTATAAACCATTTATTAAAGCTTTTTTTTTTTTTTTTTTTTTTTAGAAAAGTCTACGGGAAAAATGAATGGAATATTTATTTCTAGAACCACAGTGGATTTAGTAGTGACATGAGCACTTTTTGACCTTTACTTTTTTTGGTCACTACTTTATACTTTATTTGAGTGCTTTTCTTTTGAAGTAACACTGGTCTTTTTTGAGTAGAGTACTTGGATACTTTACCACCTCTGATTATAGTAAGTAAGTAGTAAATAAGTATAGTAAGTATAGTAAGTATATGGATAAGCATATGAAGTAGTGGTAGCAGTAGTTTTGTACATTTTTACATTTTGTACTTTAATACTTAACAAAATTTTTTCATGTGATACTTTTACTTTAGTATTTTTTGCTGTCTGGTTTATAAAGTTAAAGCATTTCACTGAATTTGGCATTTAAAATGTACTTTTTAAACTTAAAACAGCAAAAACAATTGTGTCTTTGAAGCTCTTTATATTTAATTTTTTAGAAAAGTCTACAGGAAAAATGAATGGAATATTTATTTCTGGAATCAGAGTGGACTTCGAAGTGCGTGGGACTGTTGACCTCCATTAGGTTATTAGTCAAATTTTACTTGTGAATTCTCATTCTCCTTCATTTTTCCCATAGACTTTCTGAAGAACGAAGTACACTGAAAATTTGAAGGCTCAACTGCTCTGTGGTAACTAACACCTACAATAATACCGATAATTTTATTTCAGATATATCTCTGAAACTTTATAAACCGCATTTCACTGAATTTTGCATTTTAAATGCTCTTTTTGAACTTAAAACAGCAGGATAACTGTGTTATGGATCTTAGTTTAGCCTCTTTCTTTGAGTCTTTGAACTCTTCATATTTGAGTTTTTGGAAAAGTCTACGGGAAAAATGAATGGAATATTTATTTCTGGAACTTAATTGTGAATTCTTAAAAAAAATAAAATTAATAATAATAATAAATTAAACACTACTACTACTGCTACTAATAGTACTACTTCTACTACTACTAATAATAATGTGTTTAAAAACATATTACTAAACTTTTGTTCTAAATAATATGGATTAGAAAATGATAATTCATCTATTTTATGTCTACTGATTTGTAATAAATGTTTGGAAATGATGATCTCAGACCCAAATAATAGTGCAGTATAGATATTTAAACTTCTCGAAACATGACATATGTAGTGTTTGATAAGTGTTAGAATGCGAGCCATTCTGCATGTTTAATAGTGTGAGAAATGGACCACACCAGGTTTAGTGATTGGGTGTTCAGACTTTACTGTGCATGCATCAAAAATAAAACCACACATTCATTAAAAATATAGATTTCAATCCCTTTCATCATTTGAAAACTCTTTTTTTTCTTATAAGACAATCAAAACGTGCTGTCTGAAGCAGATTTAAGAACACTGGCAAGCATCAAACTATGACATCAGCGAGTTTGGCACACGACACATGGCAAAGTACTGCGTAACATGAAGTATAAAAATATGACATCAGTGAGGGAGTGTCAGTCTACATGGTGAACACACCATGGAGTAGTATACAGTAAGTGCACATGGGTTAAACCTGCTCATAAAGATGCACCATGTCACGTTTCTAGTGAGAGATCTGCTGTTTGCTTGTCTCCATGGAGATGTTATTACTTCGACTTGAATGTTCCACAGTATGGCATTAAACCTCTCCTGCATTTCTTCAATTACATGTGGTGGGAAAAAAAAAACTTGACAAACATGTATTTTTACTGGTGTTAATCGCTTGTTTCCATGGAGATAAGTTTAATGCCATACTGAGGATCATTCTGAAGAAATAACATAGAAACAAGCAAGATAATGACTCAACTAGAAACGTTACCAGAGGTGGGAGAGTAGAGTAATATTACTTCAAAAGCATATTACTCAAGTAAAAGTAAGTGGTCCAAGAAATAGTAAAAAAAAAAGTATTTGGAAAAAGTACTACTCAAGTCAAAACTGTGAGGACATTAGATCTGATTTATAATTTGAAATTAATGTAATTTAAAGGAGAAAAACTTAAGTATTGCACAAAATCTGACAATGATTGAAAATGGGACAAATACACTGGGGAAAAAAAAAAATCTAGCTAATTTAAAATGACTTAAATTAAGATCATTTGACTTTATTTGAGTAGAGGCAACTTGACAAGTAAAATGATCTACCAAAGGAAATTAATTCAAGCAAAATTAGATTTTGTTTCTTCTTTTAAGTGCAAAAAGTTGTTGTTTTTCTTATTTTAAGTGTAGAAAGATGTATTTTAATAATTTAAGCACAAAAAGTCTTGTTCTCCTGTCAGATCATTTTACTTGTCAAGTGAAATTTACTCAAATCATGAAAAAAACTCTCTTAATTCAAGTCATCTTAACTTGGCTAGATTTAGTTTTTGGTTTTTTGCAGTGTATCTGTAGGAGCGTTGCAAGAAACACAAATGTTCAAATCATTTCATATTGTCAGCACATGTGAAACACTTTTGGGGCGTTTAAAGTTCACACTAAAGATCACATACAAGTCACATTTAATTGGAAATGTGAACGATCTCGTAAGAAAATCAGATTTCATAAAAAAATACGACTTGAGCATTAAGCCCTGTAGTCCCTAAAGTCTGAACGCAGCCAAAATCAAAGTTATTCAAGTAGAAGTAAAAGTATATTGCTAGGAAAGTCCTTTTGTTCTTTAGTAAATGTAGTTTATTAAAAATTTAGTAAAGTTCTGTAAGTTCTACCCACCTCTGAAAATGACAGAGTGCATCTTTATAAAATAACGCAATGCTCTAATCATTTGGGTTCATGCAAAAACAGTTAATCTTTAGTTAACTCACTCATGACCAAGCGCAAAACATACAATTCATAAAAACAACGCATGGCTCAGGGAGGAGGACTGAGGATCGGGTGGCGGTGGTGGCGGAGGGTGGTGGTAGGATGGGCGTCTATGAGGGTTGGGCACTGGCTCTCGGGCGGAGGGGTGGATGATGGGAGATGGTCAGTCAAAAGCGTTACTTACTGTTACTTGTGAGGGCCTTTGCACTGGACTGGCGCTGGGTTTTATCATTATGCTACTGGTGATTTTGCTGTTTACTTTGGGAGGGGGCGTGCTACAGTTCGCCACCACCTGAGTCCTCTGCTCCGCGGAACCCCCGATGTTCAGAAACGGGCTCCCGAGGTGGATGTGGATCTTGTTGTCTTCCGTGGTGATGACGTTGGGTCCCGTGCTGTTGGACCTCTGCACCTGCCAGCCGCCCTGCCTCTCCGGGGTCACCCTGAACACCGCGTGCCCGCCCACCACTTCCACGGGCTCGCCTGGGACTATCTGTATCGGGGACATCGCTCGGTCGGGGGTCACGGAACCGCACGAATCCGGGGTCATCGCTCTCGACAGCGCCGTCACCGTGAACGGGGACGTGGTTCTGTCCGGCGAGCAGGGGTCGTCCAGCATTTTGGATTTGGGGGACTTGGCGGTTGGAGACAGCGAGGCGTTTTGGATGATGGTGATCCTCTGTTTGGGCGGGGCTCCGCTGGTGGGGATGACGGCCGTGCTGGTGAAGGATTGCGGAGGGTCTGAGGTGGGGCTGGTGATCTCCAGGGTGGCGGTGGTCTGGCTGAGGTCGGGGGTCACTTTGATGTGCAGGGGCTGGCCCGGGCTGTGGGTCAACACCACGTCACCGTTTTGCCTTGGGGACACGTTACCGTTCACCTGATGCACCGGCTCTTTGGTTTTCAACATCGGCGCCCTGGCTCTCCGCATACTGTTGTTCAAGTTATTCATCATGGAAGAGGTGCACTTGTTTATTTGAAGCTCATTGTTGTAATTTGTGTCTTCAGATTCATTGTAGAGCTTTCCATTGACCACAGCGCGTTCCAGTGGCACCATGGTCTTGTGCTGAGGCGACAGTAGATCAACAGGCTCAGTTTGGACTTCTTTGGTGGACAGGTGGAGGTCGGAGAAGCGCCTTCCGTTCATGCCCGGGCGCAGGCTCTTGCTGAACCTCCTGTACCTCTCCAGCTCTCTCGTGAGGCCCTCCATCTCCCTGGACAGCTCCTTGTTCCGGACTTCCTGCTGGGTGAGCTTCCTCTGCAGGCTGGAGTGGTCCGTTTTCATTCTGCACATGGAGTCCTCTGTGCCCATGTAGTCGTGTATCTTCTCTTTGAGCGCGGCTACTTCGCGGCTCAGGTGGCTGGACTTGGCCTCCTCTTCCTTCAGTCTCTTGTACAGAACCGTCTCCTGGTTACACTCTTTCTTCTCCGCCAGCTGATATTTCGACAGTTCCTTCTTTGAAATCTCCAACTCTTCCATCAATGCCTTGGCTTTCTCTTGCTCGTTCGTGAATCTCTTCTCGAGTAGCTCAAACTCCTCTGTCTTAAACGAGTCTCCTTCTACCACCTTCATGTCTTTAAGCTTACGTCTCAGCCTCTCCACTTCCTGTGTCAAGTCTTTCACCTTGTTGTCCTCTTGCTGGAAGCGGTTTGCGATTGGTGTTTTGATGTGCTCCTCTTTGGCCTTATTCCTCAGATACTCCCTCTCGACTGTCTCCAGGGCCTGTAGACGCTTCTTCATCAGGCTGATCTTAGATTCCAGATCGCCACTCCTCTCCTCTTCGGTTCTCAGTTTAGCTCTCAGTTCATCTCTCTCTTTGGTGGCACTGCACATCCTGTCCTCCAGCTCGGCCTTTGACCTCAGGGCCTTCTTGCTCTCCTCGATGAGCTTCTCCGTCACCGTGGTCACCTTGTCCTGCTCGGCCTGCAGCTTCCCCGTGCTGCTGTGCACTTTGTTCTCCATCTGCTTCAGCTTTTCGCTCATGGCTTTCCTCTCGTCCACCAGCATCACCGTCAGCGTCTTTAACTTGGACAGATCCTCTTTTAATGTCAGCTCACTCTTTCCTAACTGACTCTCTGCGGCCTCTAGTTCTCTCACACGACCCTGTAAGCTTTCGAGTTCGCTGAAGAGCAGTTTGGATACTGTCCGCTCCTTGTCTAAGTTGCTTTTGAGCGCGTTGCATTCCTGTTTGCTCTTGCTAAACGCATCCTCCAACTTCTCCAAGTCCATAATTCTGTGGTTGAGTTTGTCCACCTCGTTCTTCAGGCTCTGGCTTTGCACTGCTTCTTTCTCCAGCTTTTTGTTGAGATCTCTGCAGTGATCCTCCATTCGGATCAGCTCCTCATCCTTCCCCTCCATCTCCAGCACGCGCTTCCGTAACTCCTCCAGCTCGGACATGAGGCTAGAGTTTCCGCACTCGCCGCGGCTGATCTTGTCCCTGATCTCCTGCAGTTCCTCGTCAGCTCTCCGCAGAGTCTTGTTGCTCTCTTCCAGCTCGTCCAATGTTCGGCTGAGTGCTGAGAGCTTGTGGCGGAGCTGGCGGTTGTGGGCGTCCTCGTGGGTCAGCTTCGCGGTCATGGCCTCTTGCTCCTGGTGGTGTTTGGCGGACTGATCTCGGAGCTGGGCCTCTAAGCGTCTGACCTTCTCTTCCTCTTCGTGCAAGCGGGCGGTGGTGGCGTTGAGCTCCTCTTGGGCCTGGGAGGCGGAGGCGCTGGCTTCTTGGACCTTGGCCGTCTGCTGCTGGAGCTGCTCACTCAGACGCTGCTGTTCGTCCACGACCATCAAAGCGAAAGACTTGAGTTTGGTCAGCTCCTCCTTCAGAGCCGAGACCTTTGAGTTGTGCTCCTCGTCCTTTCTCTCCTGGAAGGCCTTCTCCTGATCGATCAGAAGTTTCAATCTGCAAAGACAAAAATGAACAATATGTTAAAGGTGCACTATGTAACTTTTTGGTTGGTGGTCCCTCTCACTTTCTTGTTTCTATAGATATAAACTTCATTTTTATGAGAACGTTTTAGTTTTGTATATCACATATGTACACGCACTGATTATTAGCAGTGTAGAAGACAATAAATAGTCAGACCGACCAAAAAAAAGAAAGAAAAATGAAATAAAATAGGAGGCCATCAAGCAAGTGACACCTGCAAAGATGTATAAAAATTCACATTAGGGTTTGTTCTGATTGTGAAATTTCAACTTTTTCCAATAGAGAAGGGAAGTAACGATATCCAAATCTCTCAGTACGATATTATCACGATATGCATCTCACAGTACGATATTTATTGCGATTTTTTGGAGTGGCAAATATAATTCTAGATAGGACACTTTTTTGCTTTTAAAATACCTTGACAAAATTTTGGTGTGAATTATTACTGTCAGAATTCCAAGAATTAAAGTAAAAAACACATTTCTTCATGTTGTCTGTACTGAAATGAATCATGGGATATGTAGTTCCCGATGTTTATAAGATGTTCCTACTAAAGAACAATGCAATATATTGTGACAGCTCTTGATATTATTGTGAGACTTCTGACGATATGATATCAAGATATTTCAGTTATTGTTACATCCCTACAATGGAGTGTCTCAAGAAAAACTTTATTTGTTCCATAATCTGAATTTCATTTATTATTTCAGCCCATTCTGAAATACTTTGTCCTGTAACTATTTTCGCATGATCACCTTCTTGCTGGCTGCTTGTAATATCTGAAGAAGGTATCTGTCTTTTTATTGCCCAGTTGGTATGTTTCCCAAATAAATACACAAAAATTTTCCTCCAATTGCAGTCCTGTAATAAGATGAATGTTTTAACTCTCCTGCACCCCTCGGTACATTTTTGTTCATCTCAAATTTACTTTTTTGCTTAACTTTGACCATATTGCACCAAATTGCACCAAAATTGTCCAGTTTGTGTATTTTGTGATGTATTTTTACCTCCGCCAAGGAGGTTATGTTTTTGCCGGCGTTTGTCTGTTTGTTTGTTTGTTTGTTTGTTTTGTTTGTCTGTTAGCAACATAACTCAAAATGTTATGGACTGATTTTGATGAAATTTTCAGGATTTGTTGGAAATGTGAAAAGGAAGAACTGATTTCATTTTGGGGGTGATCCTGGAAGAAATCCTGGATTCTGGATCACTTTGAAATTTTAGTTAACATTGTGGTAAATGGGGCCAAAAATTTTGTTTCTCAATATCTCGGTTAATTATTGACCAAACCCCATGAAATTTGACTCAGGGATGGACAATGGGATCCTCTTTCATATTCCAAAGGCTGATCCGGATCTGATCCAGAAGACTGATTTTATCGCAATTTATATAAAAAATGGGGGTAGTCCTTGGCGGAGGTCTGCACTCTCTGACTGCTTTTCTAGTTAATTTCTGCGTTTTCTTTCAAGATCATATTAATTGGACGGTCTATAATCAAAATAATCACATCCGTGGTCCTTCGGTACATTTTTGTCCCGTTGACTTCTATTCAAAATTACTTTTTTGGCATAACTTTGCTAGTATGTTTTTACTTTTTGATTTATTTTTCAATCTTTGGTGTTGAAAACCCTTCAAATACTTTGTTTTAGTGTCTTTTAAAATATTTTTCTTTTTACTGTGTATCTCCATTACAAAGTTATATCAAAAGAAAAACATTTGTACATATGAGTCGAGACTGAAGGACAGAAACAGATATTTGAGGTTAAAATGATCTGGGTGTGTTCTAGAGGAGCCCCCAGTCTCTGATAATTCCAACACAAATAAATTAAAATTACATATTTTTTTCATGCACATAATTTGAGACTTTTGCTGTCAAAAATGGCATTTAAAGGGTTAAAATTTGAAAATATTATATGTTTTTGGCATGTATGATTAGGGCAGAAGTAAATGAAGATAATGATATAAAAACGTTGGACAAAAATCCATAGTGCATAAAAATATTGTGGTATTTTTTTCCAGTGTATGTTTTTGTTACGAAGGATCTCTGTCCAGTAAGAGGAAATCTTGGGATATTGCCAGAATATTTGAAAATGTCCAAAATATGTGAAAATGATTGTCCAGTTTCTCCAACAATTGCCTCGTTCCGTACTCTTGGTCTGATGTTCTTTAATTCTTTTATTCTTCTACATTCCAGACAAAGCGATAACTGAAAACTACATGAAGAAAAACATTTGACCGACCCTCCACCAGAAAGGTCCCACAATGCACCTTTAAAGCACCATTTGTGAGATCTGTGTCTTCCCAATTCTTTTGTTCTTTGTTCTGTAAAAGCAAACATGCGCTGCGTCTGAAGCCTTTTATATCGGCGTAAAAACCCAATAAAAATAACTTTTAAAAATACCACATATAACTGGTGAACTGGTAAAATTCTGTTTACGAGTCAAGTTTGGATACTCAACAAAAGACTTTTTAATTGCAAAAGTAGTTTTCAGACCCCGTACTTTTACTACGACTTGAGTAACGCATCGTACAGTGTAAAAGTACTTTAAATTAAGTAGTTCTCTACAGTTTTGTTTGTTCCGATATGATCTAGTTTGTCTCATTTGTCCGTTGAAAATTTGGACCACCTGAGCCAGATGTCTTTTTTTACTTTCCTTGAGCGTAGGTTCACGTACCAGAACTTTATACTCGTGTAATATTATCTCGAAGAAGTATCTGTACTCTCCCTTCATTTGAACCCCTGCAGATTTTCTATTTACAGCGTATAAAGTTCCCAGAGGACCCTTGCCTCGTCTCACCAGCACATCATAAACACTTGGATTCCTTGTATTCCTGGAAGAACATGGCCGTGTTTATGTCATGGAAAACTTCACACGCCGTAAAAACAATAGTTAAACTCTCTCGTAATCTCAAATAATAGTGCGTACTTTTGTAGCGCCAACTAAGTATTATTTGTTGTCTTAAGAGCAGAGGAGGTAGTACCGTACTCAAGTTACTCAGTTACGTTTACTTGTGTGACTTGAGTTCTTTTCTGGCAGCGTACTTTTACTCCAATTCTTGTTCCGCTTCTTCAGTTTGTCTCATTTATAATTTTTGTCCTTTAAATACCAGATTTAAAGTTTTGTCCTTCAAAAATCATTCGTTTATTAGTTTTTCTAAATAAAAGCAAAAATAAGAAAACAAAAAAATGATGATTTTCTTCACTATTTGTCTCCAAAACCAAAATGAAAAACAGATAATGATTCGGGTTTTTTTTTTTTGTTTTTTTTTTCAGTTTTCAATTTTGTGTTTAAATGAATAATGGAAAAAAAGGGATAATGACCGTTTCCTGTTTCTGTGACTTAAACTGTGACAATGGACTTTTGCGTCACATACAGACTGAACCAGGACTGAACCAGGACTAAACCAGGACTAAAACAGGTCTATACCAGGTCTAAACCAACTGTAAACCAGGACTAAACCAGGACTAAACCAGGACTAAACCAGGTCTAAACCGGTCTCAGTCCTGGTCTGGTCCCAGTCTGGTTATGGTCTAAGTCCTGGTTTCAGTCCCGGTCTCATCCTGGTCTCAGTTCCGGTTTGGTCCTGGTTTTTGATCGTACAACAGTCTACGCCCCTGTCCTGACACGCAGTCCTTTTTTAGTCCTGGTTCAGTCCTGGTTCAGTCCTGGTTTTGTCCTGGTTCAGTCCTGGTTTAGACCTGGTTCAGTACTGGTTCAATCCTGGTTTAGACCTGGTTTAATCCTTTTTTAGTCCCGATTCAGTCCTGTTCCAGTGCGGCATCACAGTTTAAGTCACTTAAATGGGAAACGGTCATTATGCTTTTTTTCCATTTTTCATTTAAACACAAAATCGAAAACTTTTGGTTTTGGAGACAAATAATGAAGAAAATAACTGTTTTTTTTAGCTTTCTTATTTTTGGTTTTATTTTGAAAAACGAATGAACGAATGACACACGAATTTCCAAACTGCATGTATTTCAAATTACAAATCAAACGTCACGTCCCAACAGTTACTCTTAAAGTTACTCTAAATGTCTTAAACTACTACTTTGCGCGTCTGCTCGAGTACAACATCGCGTACAGTTTTTACTACCGCTCTCGCACTTCAGCTCAAGCGAAATGAAAGCCTAAAACACTTGTAAATTCTTGCGCAAATACTGTTAACTCCGATAAGAGTAAATATAGTCCCCAGTGCCCACTACCCCTCCAGCTCCTGTGTGCCCAGCTGCTTGGCATTTCCACCAGATGGCCCGTTGGCGCAGAACCACCCTGTAATTACGAGGGCTTCCTCCGCTCCCCGAAGCCCGGCCAACACACTCCATACACTCTTTTTCTTCTTTTTCTTTTTTTTTCTCGTATACATTTAAAGGAATTCCCCCGTCCTCGGATTACAGCGTGCCGTGTTTACATAGAAATCCCCCCAAACACGCACTGCCGGGCTGACTCATGTTTAAGTGAGGGCCTGGGGTTTACACGGAGTCTATGGGCTTCTGGAGTACTACATAATACTACTGTAGTACACGCTGACTGCAGTACTGGATACGAACGTGCGATCCGCCACGTTTCAAGTACGATTATTAGGGACGCTCTAATCTGACGCTGGTATCAGATATCGTTGACCCAGAAAAAAAAAAAAAAAGAGGCTGGATCGGATATCGCTGGCTTCCAAATATCGGTTCATTCGATATCCTGGCTGCACATGAACAAAGATAAGATACGGTTATAGATTTGCTGGTGAACTTGGCGAATAAAAATGGGACTTTTAGCACAAGTTTGTTCTGTAGTTTCGCAAGAGATAGAGTTTTTGTCTTTTGTCTTGTTTTGAGGAAATAAATACCAGAAGTGGGATTAAGTCATTGTTTTGCAAATCTCAAGTAAGTCTCAAGTCTTTGATCGCAAGTCCGAGTCCAAGTCGAGTCTCGAGTCACTGGCTGTAAGTCCAAGTCAAATCCAAGTCGTGGTTAATAAACTAAAAACTCATTTGCTTTGAGCTTCAAGTCATTTCAAGTCTTAGATTTTTGCAATTAATATGAATTTTAAACTAGATTGTACTTTAAAAGTCATAGTATATTTATATATGAGTATTTATAGAGTATATAAGACTTGTAGAAGTGCAAATGTTTCCTTTTTAAATGTCTTGACAAGAACTTAGTGTGAATCATTACGGTCAGAACAGAAAGAATTTAGATTTAAAAATGCTTCTCAAGTCACAGGCCTCAAGTCCGAGTCAAGTCCCAAGTCCCAAGTCAAGTCCCAAGTCCAAGTCATGGTTAATAAACTAAAAACTCATCTGCTTTGAGCTTCAAGACATTTCAAGTCTTTAAGCAAAAGTACCAACTTCAATTTTTGCAATGTACATTCATTTTAAACTAAATTGTACTTTTAAAGTCATAATATATTTTTATATGAGTATTTATAGAGTATATAAGACTTGTAGAAGTGCAAATGTTTCCTTTTTAAATGTCTTGACAAGATCGTAGTGTGAATTATTATGGTCAGAATAGAAATAAATCAGATTTAAAAGTGCTTCTCAAGTCCGAGTCAAGTCCGAGTCATTGACCTTCAAGTCTTAAGTCTTAGTCAGTTTTATCAAGTCAAGTCTCAAGTCCTAAAAATAGTGACTCAAGTCCTAGTCACGACTTGCAAATCCCACCTCTGATAAATACTATCTTCTGTCTCGGGAATCAGCAGATATTTAAAGTCAAAATATCGGTATCGGAACTGAAAAAAATCGGTTACTACGGATCGGGCGAGATACAATTTCCGCAATACGAGACGAGACACGAGATTAGACCAACGAGAACGAAACAAGACGAGATTTGGACATTCGTTCTAATAAATAAATTGTGCAAATCCAGTTCCCAGTTTTAGATTTTTTTTTTTTTACCATTTTTGATTTACTGTTTTAATATTTTTGCTGTTATTGTGGTGGTGCTTTTGGGGATGACAGTTTAACTAAAAATGTAAATCACCAGAACTTAACTCAATATTTTTATCCAATCCAAATGTAAAAACTCAGAGAAAAATAATCTCAGGACGTAATTTTCAGCATGTGTTCACAGTCTTGTGGCATTTTTGTCTCGCGAGATCTTGCGGTACGAGATCTTGTCCCGTCCCTTCTGGTAACTGTTACAAAATTATGTCAAATTACGTAAAATTATGTAACAAAATTATGTAGAATTGTGAAAAATTGTGTTGAATTATACAAGTGTTTGTCTAATCTGCAGTGGATTTCAAACATGGATTGCAAAACTTTACTAAACAAAGAGTCTATTCTATTTCTACAGGTTTACTCTGATACTCTGATAGTACACACATACTCAAGTAAGGAAGTAGTAGTAGTAGTAGTAGTAGTTCAAAGTAATCAAGTTAAAATTTTGTCTGTAAATCTATACATATTCATTTCTTTCAACTTCAAAAATTCTTGTAGAGTATGTTGTAGAGTTGCCAAAAATTTTACTCAGAATAATATTACTCAAGTAGAAGTACAAAGTAGTGGTCCCAAAACTGTACTTGAGTAAAAAGTATTTCAGGAGGTAAAAGTAGTACCCATTTTGAATACTTTGTCTGTAGTAAAAGTAGCATGATGTAAAACTATTGTCACTTGTAGATTTATTCACAATTGGAGAGTAACCCAAACTTAAGAGTACTGTTACAATTTCCAATAAAGTACTCAAGTAAAAGTACAATCTGTAGTAGTACATGAAAAAATTCTAAAATTCTAAAGTATTTTCAAGGATATACACAAAAATGAGACAAACTAAATCATATCTGAAGGAGCAGAGCAAGAAACACAAATGTAGGAAGAGGAAGCAGCACTTAGAAGTACTATTACACTATTACACAATAAAGTACTCAAGTAAAAGTACAGTCTGTAGTAGTGCTCAGCTTGAATACTTTCTCCCTAGTAAAAATAGAATGACATAAAGCGTTTGTCACTTGTAGACTTACTCACAGTGGAAAGAGGAACCAATACTTAGAAGTACTATTACACTTCACAATAAAGTACTCAAGTAAAAGTACAATCTGTAGTACTACCCATCGAGTTGAATATTTTATGCATAGTAAAAGTAAAATGACAGTAGCACGACATAAAACTTTTGTCACTTGTTGACTTATTGGAGTATAACACAAACGTAAGAGTACTGTAGCACTTTACAATATAGTACTCAAGTAAAAGTACTATCTTGTAGTACTGCCAGAGCTTGAATACTTTCTCTGTAGTAAAAGTAGCATGACATAAAGCTTTTGTCACTTGTAGACTTATTCACATTTGGAGAGTAACCCAAACTTGTGAGTACTATTACACTTTCCAATGTAGTACTCAAGTAAAAGTACAATCTATAGTACCGCCCAGCTTGAATACTTTCTCTGTGGTAAACGTAACATTACATAAAGCTTTTGTCACTTGTAGACTTACTCACAGTGGAAAGAGGAACTAATACTTAAGAGTACTATTACACTTTACAACGTAGTACTCAAGTAAAAGTACAATCTGTAGTAGTACCCAGTTTAAATACTTTGTCTGTAGTAAAAGTAGCAAGACTTGAAGCTTTTGTCACTTGTAAGACTTACTCACAGTAGGAAGAGGAGCCAATACTTAAGAGTACTATCACACTTTGCAATAAAGTACTCAAGTAAAAGTACAATCTGTAGTACTACCCATTTTGAATACTTTCTCCATAGTAAATGTGGAATGACAGTAGCATGACATAAAGTTTTTGTCACTTGTAAACTTACTCACAGCATGAAAAGGACCCAATACTTAAGAGTACAATTATACTTTACAATATAGTACTCAAGTAAAAGTACGATGAGTAGTAGTAGCCAGCTTGAATACTTTCTCCGTAGTAAAAGTATCATGACATAAAGCTTTTATCACTTGTAAGACTTACTCACAATAGGAAGAGGAATCAATACATTGAAGAGGAATCAATACATTAGAGTACTATTACACTTTGCAATTTAGTACTCAAGTAAAAGTACAACCTGTAGTACTACTCATCTAGTTAAATTTTTTATCTGTAGTTTTGTCACTTGTAGACTCACTCACAGTGGAAAGAGGAACTAATACTTAAGAGTACTATTACACTTTACAACATAGTACTCAAGTAAAAGTACAATCTGTAGTAGTACCCAAACTGAATACTTCCTTCATAGTAAAAGTAGAATGACATAAATCTTTTGTCACTTGCAGATTTACTCACAATCAGAGAGTAACCCAAACATAAGAGTACAGTTCCACTTTACTGTATAGTACTCAACTAAAAGTACAACTTGTAGTACTATCCATCTGTTTGAATATTTGAAAGTAGCGTGTGAGTGACAGACTGTGAAATATTCCTGGGGATTTACCTTGTGAAGTTGTGCTTAGCTCATGCGGATAAGAGCCTGCGTTTGTCCAGAGTCAGTGGTTCGGTCGCTCGTTATCAGCGGCGCAGATATGGAGCTGTAATCCGAGTTCACTTGGATACAGTATTGTGAGTAATGACGTGTGATAGTGAACGAGCACGAAACATGCCGTGCTAACAGTTTGATAAGAGCTCCCAACTGTAAACTTAAAGAGAAGTTGACAAGAAATCTCCAAAATTTTGCAGCTTTTTTCCAAATTTCTAGCTTTTTCGATTTTGATTTCGGAGTAAGGTCGTAGGGTTGGACGAATTTGGAAATCGAAATCTTAATTCTTAGTAGAAGAAGAGAAAGTAGTGGTCCAAGAAAAGACTCAAGTAAGTAAAATAGTATTTGGGATGACTTCTACTCAAGTAAAAGTAGTTTTAAAAAGTAACTGCCTGTTTTATAATTTGGAAAAAGCCCGAAATATGAACTTCAAAATGAACACAAGAATCAAACATTTCAGAACATGTAGAAAGTTCTGAACTTTTTACGCACAAAAATACAAGAAAAAAAATTGTTTTCAGAAAAAATTTTGACAAAAAATTCAGTCAGTAGTTGATGAAATACTCAAAGTACAGATACAAGGGAAAAGATTACTCAAGTAAAAGTATCACATGAAAAAATCTGTGTAAAAGTATTGAAGTACCTGTTTAAAAATGTACTTTAAGACTAAAAAGTAAAAGTATTTTGCAGAGATTTTTAGGAAATTAAAGCATAAAATTTAATGATTTTGTGTAGTGATTCAATTATTTTCTTCATTTTTGTAGCTCTTTTTGTGTATTTTGTTTGGTATTTTAACTCAAATACACGTGCTTAAGAAAAGTACTTTTAAATTTCAGTCCAGATTTAACATGTAGTAAAGTAGAAAGTACAAATACACGCTTTCGAATGTAGTGAAGTAAAAGTAAAATGCATTTAAGTCAAGAACAGACAGACTAAAAATTGAATTGTACTTTTACTTTTACACTTCATTACCTTCTACTACTGGATTTGATAACTGTACAGCTTCAGATTTTAAAAGTACTGTATAAATACTTCATAAAATACTGTGAAAGTGTGTTACCTGTGGGAAAGCCTCCCTCGTGCAGCTGTGTTCGCCTAAGATCCCGTACTCCAGTGTGAGCCTTCATACCAAACAATAAGGGATGTGCTCCTGGGTCCTGCCTATGCACCATTACATCATCAGCATGCCCTTATATGGAGCTGCTCTCTGCACGCGCTCAGAAGGCGGCGTGACAGCGAGCCGAGCGGGGCCAGTGTGAGCACGGGAGGTACATGTGTTTGTGTGGGAGAAGCCTTCTGTTTAACACGAGGATGTGGTGGAGAGGTGAGGAGGCGTCTGACCAGAGTCAAGTGTGAAATGTCTCCGTCAAGACTCCGCGCTCTTTTAAGTTACTCCGACTTCAGTAGTAGTTTTCCCAAATACTTTTTGACTCGTACTTCAGTCATTTGACACACTACTAGACTACGACTTTGTACTTCTACTTGAGGAACATTATATTCAAGTAACATTTGTACAGTTTTTGGCTTCTCTACCACTGTGGTGTCAGTGTTTTATTTTAAAGTTAAGTTAAGTTAAGTTTAAGTTAAGTTTAAGTTAACTTAAACTTAACTTAAACTTAATCTTAACTTAGAATTTAAGTTTAAATTAAGTTAAGTTTAAATTAAGTTTAAGTTAAGTTCTAAGTTAAGATTAAGTTTAAGTTAAGTTTAAGTTAAGTTTAAGTTAAGTTTAAGTTCATTTTAAGTAAAGTTAACTTAAAGTTAAGTTAAGTTAAGTTTAAATTAAGTTTAAGTTAAGTTCTAAGTTAAGATTAAGTTAAGTTAAGTTTAAGTTAATTTTAAGTTAACTTAAAGTTAAGTTAAGTGTAAGTTAAGTTTAAGTTAAGTTTAAATTAAGTTTACGTTAAGTTCTAAGTTAAGATTAAGTTAAGTTTAAGTTAAGTTTAAATTAAGTTTAAGTTAAGTTTAAGTTCTAAGTTAAGATTAAGTTAAGTTTAAGTTAAGTTTAAATTAAGTTTAAGTTAAATTTAAGTTAAGTTTAAGTTTAAATTAAGGTTAAGTTAAGTTTAAGTTACCATAAACTTAAGTTAAGTTTAAGTTAAGTTTAACCGAAATCAAAAGCAAAACCGAAATCTTAACATTACTTTAAAATGATTTCACTCAAGTAGTAGAACAAGAAAAAGTAGTGGTCCAAGAAATGACTCAAGTACGTAAGTAAAAAGGTATTTGGGACAAGTACTACTCAAGTAAAAGTAGCTTAAAGAGTAACTGTCTGTTTTAGGAAAAAAAAAAAAAAAAAAAAATGAAATATGAAGTGCAAAACAAATCCAAGAATCATATATTTCAGATTTTTTTTACCCATAAAAATACAGAAAAAGTTGTTGATTTCAGAAAAACTGTGCCAAACCTTTGTGGTCAAATCAGTAGAGGATGAAACACCCAAAGTACAAGTAAAAGTATTGAAGATTTTGGCTTCTCTAACACCTCTGATGTTCAAGTTGTATTGTTTCTCCTCGTTTAGTGGCCAAATTAAAGGTGCACTGTGTAACTTTTCTGTGTCTATCACCTGCTTGTTTCTATGCATTTATCTTTGCTCTGTCTGGAATGTTCCACAGTGTGACATTAAACAGCTCTACCTTACATTTATTTAATTACAGGTGGTTTTATAACTCAAAAATACAAGGTGGCCCACAAAATTTGACATCATTTCCAATAATTTGACTAATAATTTTGGCAATTCTAGTTGAAATTACCTCAAATTTTTACAGAATATATAGAAAACTATTAAGATTTTATATTTAATGTTTTATTTTTGTTCTGTTTTCAGGTTGAGCCGTTCACTTTGCATCTTGGAATCTGCTCGCACACATATGTAATCTTTTAGTCCTACATAAGCAGCATTCCTCTTTACATTTTTGGTACAAATGCCAAATTTCTTTCGCGGTTGATGAACTTTTCCCAAATTTTACATTGAAGCTGCACAGTCTTGGGTGAGTGTGTGCGGCAGATTCCAAGACGCAGAATGATTTTGTTTGGGAGTGAACAGCTCAACCTGAAAACAGAACAAAAATAAAACACTCAATACAAAATCTTGATCTGTTTCTATACATTCAGTGAAAATTTGGGGTCGCCTCTCCACAGATCTGACCTGTAACTTCTGTCTGTCTGTTTTGGTCTTCATGAAGATGGAAAGGTTTAATGCCATATTGTGAAACATTCCAGACAAAGCAATAACTTTTCCACAGAGAAAAGCATTAGACGGACCCTCCACCAGAAAAGTTACACAATGCACCTTTAACTTGGCCAGTGTAGTTAACAAAATGAGGAGAAACAACACAACTTTAACATCAGAGGTGGTAGAGAAACCAAAAATTGTACAAACATTACTTCAAAATAATGTTTCCAAGAAGAAGTACAAAGTAGTAGTCTAGTAGTCTAAGAAATAACTGAAGTAAGGGTAATTTAAAGAGTAACTGAGGGTGTAATATCTAATTTATAATTTGTGAAGTGAATATAATTGAAAAAACAAAACATAAAATTAAATAATGTACAAAATCTGGTGCATTATTTTCAAAAGATGGACACAAAAATCAGACCAAGTAAGTTACTTTAATAAAAAATATGACCCAAGTAGAAGTAAAAGTCGCACCTAGAAAAGTACTATTTCTTTAAGAAGTTATTCCAGTAAATAATACCCAACTCTGTTTAACATCATCTGGAAAGCGAGCAATAATGCGAAGGGAAAATTCCAGTTTATTTCTAATCCACGACCATAAACAAAAACGAAAAAAAATCCCTAAATTTTTCATTCTCATTACTGTTTATTTAATACGATCATAAACGATAAACTTTGTGCCTAGATTAACATTATTATTAGTTTGTACGACTATAAGCAAAAATAAGTTTCTGCATGTGTGTATATGTTGATATACATGTGTGTGTAAACATTTATATTGAGTATATGTATTGGATATTTATGATGTGTATATGTATGTTTGTGTGTACATATGTGTGTACAAGTGTGTGTACTTGCATATGTATGTAAGTATATGTGGATATGTTTTGTATATATGTGGGTATATTTTTTGTAAATGACAGGTAAGATCTCCAAAGGTGATAAAAAAAAAAAAAAAAAAAAGTGAACCACGTGATTATGTAAAACAATCGGGGTAGGAAGTTTTTTAAACTTCATCCTGCTCCTTTTGAGCACCAGGTCCCAAGTATGTCATGTATATATCACTATTTTTGTTATTGTTTTTGAATTTTGTTGTACCTGCTCAAACAAAGAAATAAATGAATAAATGAAAAAAAAAGAGTAACTTTCCTTCAAATAATATTATTCATATAGAAGTACAAAGTAGTGGTCTAATAAATTATGTATTAAGTTTTAAAAAGTATTTGGAAAAACTACTACTGAAGTAAGAGTAACTTAAAGAGTAACTGAGGACATGATATCTAATTTATAATTTGTGAAGTGAATATAATTGTAAAAAGAAACATTAAATTAAATAATGTTCAAAATCTGGTGCATTATTTTCAAAAGATGGACACAAAAATGAGACAAATGAACGTACTGTCACTTCAGTAAAAAGACCCAAGTAGGAGTAAAAGTCGCAGCTAGAAAATAATTCTTTCTTTAAAAAGTTATTCCAGTAAGTAATACCCAGCTCTGTTTAACATAATCTGTAAAGAGAGCGCTGATGCGAAGGGAAAATTTAAGTTTATTTCTAATCTAACCCGGGGCACACTGTTGGAAGTAAATCTGTTTCAGTGTCTGTGAAGTGTCTTGCCTAAGGATACAATGACACAACTCAGGAATCGATCCAAGCAGAAATCAGTCCTCCTTTGCAGAGGTGATGCAATAAAACCACCTGCGATGGACTAGACTGTTCTGTTTTTGGCCACACTGCGGAACATTCCAAAGCAGATACTCAGAATTGTATTGTAAGTGCACAAAGCTTCACGAGTCGCTGTTGATTCAGCTGTACTTCAGAGGGGTGAGCTGCTTCTGTAATGTATTAGGCAATGTGGGTGACGTGCGTTGCCTAAAGACACAACAACGGCTGCGTTTGATAACAGCTGGGATCAAACTGCCAGGACTGTTGTGATGTGATGTTGGTGAACGAATCAGCCCTGACACCATAATTAGGGACGTCCCGATCACATTTTTTTGCCCCCGAGTCCGAGTCTTTCGATTTTGAGTATCTGCCGATACCGAGTCCCGATCCGATACTTCTATAAAACATTATGAAATGAACTAAGAGCAAAGAAGAAGGCTTACGTTCAGACTGCAGGGCTTAACGCTCAATTCCGATTTTTTTGTGAAATCTGATGTTTTTGCGAGGTCGTTCACATTTCCAATTAAATGTGACTTGTATGTGACTCCAGTGTGAACATTAAACGGCCCAAAAGTGTCCCACATGTGACACTGGAGACACGACGACGTCAACCACAGTGAGCGTCTCTGTGTTTACAGAAGTTGTCCAAACATGGACGCAGCATCGAGCACCTGGAGATTTTAAAGTTCCTCTCGTACTGGAGCCAGAACATGAACAACAGCAGGCGTTGCTGCAACAGCTAAATTCCAAGTACCTACTTACTCACACCATATTATAGAGCTTTTTTACTCAGGAGCCTTTTTCCTCTCTGATAAATGTCGATCAGAATGTGCAAGAATGACTACACAAACGGCCCAGAAGTGCAAAATACTTTTTTGTTTACAAAGGATAAAAACAGAATTGTATATTAACCCCATATTATAATTTTCCCCAAATACTAGATTTTTCCTGATACTAAAAATTAATTTGAGCCTGAGAGGGTTAAGGAGGAGATTGAGAAGGAGAAGGACGAGGTTTTTGGTCGTGGTGTTTTGTGGGGCAGCGACAGCGACGTCTGTTGAAAGGAACGTGTGGATGTGGAGACGGAGCCAAGAGTGGTGAGTGGTGATGTGCTTCACTTCAGTGACACAGAGTTCATTAACAATTTTTTCCTACTTCAGCGCAGAATAGTGACGTTTGTGTCTTGTTGATAACGTGTAGGTGGATGGCGCTTTGGCCGTTCACACTGAAGTCACATGTCAAAAGATCAGATATGTATCAGTTTCAGGAGCACATATCCAAGTGTCCTGGGTCACATTTGAAAAAATCTGATCTGTGTGGTTCAGACTGACATTAAAAGATCAGATACAGGAACATAGGGGCCAAAAAATCAGATTTGGG